TTTATGTTCCTGACCTATCACTCAAATGCCTCTTAAAATCTTGGCGGGCACAGATAGCAGTAGCTAAAGGTTTAGGGCAGGGCAAATGCTAAGATAGAGAGCAATTGTGGAGGGCCTCTGAAGAATTGAAATGAAGGAGACAGCACATCATTCTCAACAGTGGGAGAGGGGATGAATGCAGTGGGGAAAATCCACTCGTTAAAGGTATTCCTAAACCTATAATCTTCAACACCATCTCCCTACTTGTCCACTGCAGCCTAATCTTAGATCAGATAACTCAGATTGGGGATTAAACTTGGACCTAACTCTCTCAATAGTCTTGTGGGCACTGCTTTGTGTAACACTATGCAATAAAGACCAGACAGTTTTAGGTTAGAATTGCGGCATCTGCTCATCTCTCAGACAGGCCATTAATTGTGGGTGACACCATTAACCTCTGGATTCCTGGGTTCTATCCAATGGACTGAGTGAAGAGGACTTACTTAACTATAATGACCTTATGTTGAATCGCTGCTGGCTCAGGCGTAATGTTGTCCATTGGGTGAAGTACTAGAGGTGCCAATTGGAACCAATCTCGCAGAATAGTCAGCACTTTCAGGAGAAAAGGAGACAAAGCACAAAGAAACTGTCAAAATCTGGGACTTCCGAGTCTATATGCCTGTGCTCAGCTATTCACTGGATAAGATCTGTGAACCAATGGGGAAATTAATATTGCAGCTTTAACAATATGGGGGTAGAATTTTTTTCGTAATTTACTAACACACACTGTATTGTCAAATAAATTGACTGCTTTAAACATATATATTAGTTTCCGTAAAAACCATTATGAACAGTTGGTGAGATCAGTGGTGTTCTGTTACTTAAATCTCTTACACATGAACGGTGGAGGGATTAATTCTGTTTCTCTTATCAATTTCCTGTACAGAATTCTGTGTTTTGAAGATGCAAATGATTTATTTGGCTCTGAAGCAAGTCCTTGTGACCCAGGTGGTATTATATGAATGGAGCATTGGAGATGCTGTTGTGTGCAGGGCTCTGTAAATTGATTCTTGTGGTGCGGTAAATGAATTCTGAACCACTCACTCAAGCTCGGCTACATTTGCCGTTTTTTGCAAATCCTCTTGATGGCCTCTTTTCTCCATCTTTGACGTAAGAGCACAATGTTTTCCATTATTTTTGTTGACTGCCTCCCTAGTACATGATGTTCCCGCACTAATTTGCAGCTTCTACAAAGCATGCAAAGCAAGCTACTTGTAACAGGTACACTCAAGTATAGTAAACTCCGAAGTCACATTGTACCTTTCTCCCCCCCCTACCAGTAGAAAACTCCTAATTTGTTGGTTCTCACTTTTATTCCATTTCAGCAATGACTGCAATAAAGAACACTTAAGGTTTTTTTTTAGTGAGAACATTTTCTATCTCTCTCTCTCTCTCTGATGTGTGCTTTTTTCAAAATCTATTTAAGGAACTTCTATTGCACCTAATGCACCTGGTGCTATCTCCTGCTGAGAGACTGCTGAGTGATCACTCATGTTGCCCATTTCGGCTACCGTTTTCACTAGCCACCAATTACGCTGAGCACATTGGCAGAGAAGGAGTGTGACTTAGTTTGAAACCATTCTACAAGTTTTAGAACTCACATCTTTATAGAAAATTGTTAACAATCCAATCAGCAAGTTATTGAAAATGCTGGTTGTCTTCGATTAACTTCCATTCAAGTTGGCTTTGCGGTTACAGTTAGCTTTCCTGTAAATCTCCTCTCCAAACAATCTCAGTTGTAAAATATTTAAACTGCTTGCTCTGTTTCTCTCAGGGTGCTTCCGTAATTGAGTGGAAAGGAGACATTGACAGAACAACAGGAGAATCCCAGTGGAGAAGTGATCAGCTGTGTGAATGAATTGCTGAGTCTGCACCACTTTGATATGTCACTGAGCCATACAGAGCAGGAGATTGTACTGATCCTTGGTCTTAGTTGAGTTAGCTGAGCTTGTAGGGCAGTGATGGTACAAGTGGCACCCCAGGTGTGAAACTAGACGCTCTATGGAAAGGATTATTTCGGTAGTTTCCAACTGTTAGTGTTAGTTATGATTACTGTCAGCTTCAATACTAAACTCCTTTGAGTCTACCATCCCAAAGCGAGACGAGAAACAATGGTGTTCTAGTTTTGCACACAGGTGGTACAACATGTTTGTGGCTCATTTGGAGGGAGAAGGAGTTTGACCTCAGTAGTATATTGACGTAGCAGTGAGTAGGTAATGTATAGATGTACCAGCATTTCCAGAAGGGAAAAATATTATAGCTGGTAAGCGACTCCCACGAGCTTTATGTTGGCTGCTCACAAAGTGTGAAGATGAGGGCAAAGACAGATCTTGATGCAATTGTGTGGGAGACTTCAAAGAAAGAGAAAAGGATATGTTTTAATATAAAAAAACCTACTGAAAACACACTACGTTGTTTTCTTGTCTCAAAAGCAAATAAGCCCATAGCAAAAAACATTTAGAGCTGCGTTTTAAAAATACATCTTACAGCGTATGTGAGAGTGCCTTTTTGCTTTTAGAATGCTTTTTGCCGATGCCTCTTACTGTTGAGTAAGAAGTAGGGAGGCACGAGCATACTTAACACCAGTGTGGTAATGGAGTCTTGGATTGAACACGTGCTGATAATTTACATAAGAGCATACATGCTCTGCATTGAAAAGATAAGTAGATTTGGGGTTTCACGGAAACCAGAGCCCAAAATTAACGAGAGATAAATCGGTTTAGGCATTTAGGCATTTTAATCTTTTGAAAATTGTAGCTGTCTCCATCTTAAATTTAAAAAATGCAAAATAATACATAACTGCATAACACCTACTGACACAACTTGCTTATAAACCGTGGGAACCAGACTATTGTGGCGCAATGGGCTAGGTGTCAAATTCAGACACTTGGATTTGAATCCAGCACATCCTACGATGAACATCTCCTTACTGTTGTCTGGAAGTGTCCTACTTAAACTGTGTTTCAATCCAGTGACTGGGTGTCTATGGTACAAATTGGCCAGTAATTGGGCATCAGAAAACCTGCCACAAGGATGGCAGGTGAAGGAAATGGAATTCTGGTTGAATCTCAGGCTAACTCTTCGGATCTCCGCTCATCCACTAATCTTTGATTTCTGTGAAATTCAGTGTCTGAGCAGAGTTACAGAGCATCAGCAAAGATATGGGATACACACATTGGTTTGCAAATTGGACCCCATTGTATTCTCCTATAGTCACGCCTGCCAAACCAGAACCCAGCAAGAGTCAGCTCTGACAGGAGAGGAGAAAATGGGCAATACATATACAGCAGAAATGTGGAATTCCGGTAGGAGTGATTCCCATTTGTTAGAAACTCACTCTGACTGTCAGAAAAAGGCATTGAGTTCAGTAGTAGTTGCTGCACATAAGATAGGTACTTATGTCACACAAGTAAGTGTTTGTCGGCACACAGTGGGTGATGGAACAATGGATATTGGGGAAGGAGAAATTGTAAGGCTGTAATTCAATCAGGGATGTATTAAACCTGTCAATGTGAAGCAACACAAAGTGGTTTTCAGTATAAATGATAATCAGAATCTTTGGTTGGATTCAGAACTGATTGTGACTGTAGCAATATTGTTATGACAGCAAGTCAATTATAGAATCATAATTGTAGAAGCATTGTAGGATGCCATTTGGGTAATTGAGCCTAAACCTGTGCTACTACCTCATCAACTGGTGTTTAATCAACATTTCCTTTCTATTCTTCCTCTTCAAATATTTATCGTGGCATCAACCGTGTGGAGCACTGTTATACTGCAGGACATTTATCCTGGAAAGTAACTCGAGATTTGATTTGGACAGACATCATCAGGCCTTTAGTTGTAAACCAGCTCCTACATTTGGCTGCCTTTTACACTCTCACAGATCAGACAAGCTCTATGAAGTGAGGTGACAGCATAGCACTTAGGGTTGTCCCTTCACACCACCCGCAGTTTCAAACCCCAGCCGTGGCTGGCAATGATAGATCGACCAGGCCTCCTGTATGATAGGTTTTGTCACTTCTCTGGTATGTCTTGAAGTGTGAATCATTGTTTGTAGTAACACTTCATATCGGCTTCACTCCAAAAAGCCTCAATGGAATTGCCAGTTGAGCCTCATACTAGTGCTACTGCCTACGCAGCACTCTCCCAGATTACCATTGGCTGTTTGCTATGGCAATGTTGCTGGAGTGTGGATTATAGTTTGGGAAATCTGGTACCCATGTGCACCCCGTTGCTATTTTACTTTCTTGGTTTTGTGCTTCCGGCAACCAAATTAGGTCTACATTATGAGTCCGTTGTTATTCTCACTGACTATGCCTGTTGATAATGTACAAAGCAAATTACCTGCACTGATGTTGGGAACAGCAACATTTGCATTCTTTTGGACTTACTGAGGTGATCAGTGAGATACCATCAAAGAAATGATTGGTAGAGTTGAGAGGCGACAATTGGATAAGAAACTACACAAAACAATTTTACACTATATTCTGTGAAGCGCTTTGAGATGTCTCGACAATAAGTCACCCATATCAAATGCAAGGATTAGTATAAAAGGGAAAATTATATTACGTGACACATCAAACAAAGGCTGAGAACCACAGTGAACTGGAAGGTTACCATTATAGTTACAGAATTAATAATAATAATATTAATCCTTGGCTACACCTACAACCATCTGGTTTTAATCTTTGTTTTTTTTCATCCATTGAAGTCAATCGACTGAATTTCATTTTTCTTCTGTCTGGGGGCACAGTATTGCAGTTTCACCTCATTGAAGAGACTTGAATTGGGTCCCGATTAGCTAAAATTCAGCGGTCACTGGAGTGTGTATTTCATGCTCAAAATATATTGTCACTTCATTTTAAATTCAGAATTTTTGGTTGCTTTCCAGCCCGTCTTCCTCTGGTCACTGTGAAACGTTTTTAGAGGTCTTAATTTATCCTTGTGCTCTCTTTCAGCTGGAGAAGAAGCAGGTGACTCCTCACTTCAAACCACAAATCACCGATGACTACGGTTTGGAAAACTTCGATACACAGTTTACAAGTGAACCTGTTCAGCTCACACCAGATGATGAGTAAGTGCATTCGTGCGTAAATACCTTGTGATCACTTTGTTCCAAATTTCTTACCACCTCTGCGAAAGGCACTTCCTCCTTTTGGAGACAGTTCCACAAGGTGTCCTCTGCCTCTTGCCTCCTGATGTATAAGCCCCAATCGTGAATTATTCCAGGCTATTTAGAATGAGTATCACAGCCTATCTCAAATGTAATGTGCAATCTTAAATGGTCGCAAAGCTAAAGAGCAAGAACCAAAGCTGATTTTCTTTCAAAAAAGCAACGAGAGCTGAGATCTGTTGTAAAGACTTGGCTGAATTAATCATAATAATCCTCGCATTTGATCTAGCGCCTTATTAAGTCTTCAAGACGTCTCAAGGCGCTTCACAGAATATACTGTAAAGTGAATTGACTGTAAATTTTGTGGGCACATCCCTACTTCATTGCTGACTCCCAACTTTTGCCCAGCATTCCAAAGTCCACTTCAGCGTGGGCGTGATTCTTCTTTGAGTTAACAGTTTAATTAATATTTTTATTGTCTTTTCTGTCTCCAAGGTGTTCAGTATTTTTTTTTATTCACACCAACCTGGGCAAATCATTTGGGAACATTGATTAATACTGCTTGAGAGGAGAAGAGGGCCATCCATGGGGACCACAATTGGGGTGATTTTTGTTTCTTCCCATGAATGAATTGTCCATGATAGTTCACGTGCAGCACAGGCGCATGTGAATTATGGAGCATTTATGAGTGGAAAGAAACATTACATGATGTGGGTTTCCAATAAATCTGTTTATTACTTGAGTGCATTCCTCCATGATTTTAATATGAGCACACAGCCACATCTACTCCCTGCAAACGCTGCTGTATAAAATGTGATCCCATCACAGATAGAAATAGAAGGAGCAACTCACATAGTTAAGGTATTCATTGAGGACATGGCAATCAAGCTTTTTAAGTCTGTGTGCAGTGGGTTTCTGCCCAAGGCCACCAAACAGACACAACACATCGAAGGAGACATAATATACAATGTGGTAACATTTTTTACATTGCTAATTTCATAATTCAATGCTGCTGCCATTTCATAATAAAAACCTAAAGCACGGAATGAGAGATGCTCATTAGGCCCATCAAACCAGCTCCTTCCATACACCATATAAAATCTAGCATTCTATTGTGAACTCTACCGCAAACAAATTCAATCCCTGCAGGAAATTTCTGCATTGACTCCAAAGGTAATCAAGGAAAGCCTCCGCATGTCCACACATCACAAACATTCAACCGCAGCCTCCTGCACTGCTCACAAAGAATAGTGGATATTCCTCCCGAGTAGCAAATCGATATTAAAAATAATATTGCTCCAAATTGCACGGTTATAATAGAATGTAGAATGTGTAATATGTTTAACCCTTGGTCTAACTCCTGTGAAGCGCTTTGGGATGTCCTCCTGACTTGAAAGGCGCTATATCAAATGCAAGGATTGTTTATTATTCATGAACTTAAGAATTTTCCATAGTTCTGTAAGATCATAGATTTTAAGAAAACAGTCTTATAGATTAAGACTGGGTGGAATTTCAGAGCACAGATGATCTGAATGCCTCTCCTCATTTCCTACCACTCCCATGAGCAAGAACAGATGATGTAAGAATTGAATCAGTAGAAAAATGTATTCACATTTCTCAGAGCAAACTTTTAGCCTTGTGTTTCTTATCAGGTTTCACGTTTCCAAGTATGCAATGAGATTTAGTACTCAGGGAGTCTTGTCATCAACATAATTCTTAGAATGAAAGAATTATCATTAACTTGAACATTTTTTAAAAAAACTTTCTGCATATTTGTTTTCTTAAGTGAAAAAGTGCCTCATCAGAATCTGGCTCAGAAATGCTGCCTAACCCTGCACTCTGAGAGAGTGGAATTAAAGAGTAGAGGTAGTTATTAAGCTTCCCTCTCTGTTCTGTTTCCATGGAAATAGATGTGAAATAATGATGCATTTTTTAAAAAATCTTCTGCACCTCTCCTTCTTATCTCTTTCTGTCTCTCCCTCCTTGTATCCCCCAGTCAGCATGGCTCACTATTTGTGTCAGAAAGTTGTGGGTTCAAGCCCCATGTTGGGGTTCTGAACTCACAGTCTAATATAATGCTCCAAATGAGTGCTATGGGGTGGTCCTTTGTGCTCCTGAGTGCTCCTTTGTTGCTGGCTCCATCCTTTGGTAAAGATGTTAAACCAAGTGGTAGTCTGTTTTGTGACTTTGTATAAGAATGTGGAGCAAGAGCAGATCATTTAGTTCATCAATCTATTCAAATCCTGCCGCATATAGCATTATTCCTCCCCTTTACAAGCTCAAGCAGCAGAAGCAGAAATTCAGAAATCATTATGTTTCGTTGAATATTTGTTTCAGTCAACACCTATTACAGGGGCTTCAGATTTGGTTCCCATTCAGATACTAGCCTGATTCTTTTTCACTGGGTTAATATCAAACATCGCATCAGCTGCTTTTATTTAAGAAGAAAGGCTACTCTTGCACAATACTGTGGAGACTATAAAAGCAGCGACTTGAAGATTGACAGTGATTTGAGAAATGCCGCCCTGTATCATTTCAGAGACCAAAACGCTTCAGACACCACATGGGTTTATCACTCAAGCAGCTCCAATGCAATCCTCCCACATTAAGCTGCACATAAAGGCCTGTAGACACATCCCTGAGCTAACTGGAAGTCATAAGAATCACTAGAAAAAGCAGAGTCAGCAAAACAGTAGAAATCCTTCAATTTTACTTCCTGCTTCCAAAGAAATGAAAGTGCAGTAATGATTGAATATTTTTATCTTCTGCAATGCTTCTTATCTCTGCTTTTCTCTCTCTCTGTCTCCTCACACACCTACACAGTATAAATAAATGTTGAATCGCAAGACGTAATTTTGCATCCATGGTTAGTGCCACAACCCTCCCCTTTTTCTACGTGCTGTTTTGTTCACTGGGATGCTTGTCCCGTGAATCCCCCCCGACTGAGCTTGCAAGAAAAAGAAAAAGGCGTTTACTTTTGATGTCTACTTAAATCCACAGGACCAACACAAAATGTGGAACATTAACTCGGCTGCGCTAATATCTACGCTCCATTCTACCGTGCCAAAGAGAATTTAGTGTGCACTGCAGTTCGCTGAAGTGCAGTTAATATCAGTTTGAGTGCCAACACATGCTGCACAATTAAAAGCTTGCCCCAGTTCTTTTTATTGTAGGTCAGTTCTGTCGAACCATGACTTCCATTTGCGGTTGTCGAATGCACAATGCAAATGATAATTATAATCACGTCAACTGAAACGGAACAATCGAGGTGTGACTTCTAGAGTGCATTAATTGTACTCTCTCTTTGGATTTTTTTTTAAAAATCCATAGAGTTCAGATCCACAGCTAAGAATGTTTCTTTAGAAATTCACATTTAAAAAAGTTCACAGATGAAATCGGGAACTCACTGTGGAGGGAACAGTGTTGATGAACATGTTCTCTTCCATTGTGCAATGCCGCAAACTATTGCTCCAGAGATGAGTGATTTTGTGAGGGGATGGAAGGAATGTAGTTTTATTGATTTGTAATGTCTGGAACTTTACAGGGAAGTTAGATCAATCTGGCTCACCATCTCAGCACAGACCAGGAACTATCTATCGTTTGGTCCATAAGGCCTTTACCCAGTAGGCTTTCAGAGAACATCACTTTTTTAAAGTGGGAGGGGGACAACCAGTTCTGGAGCAAAGGGAGCTCAGATGATGAGTCCAGTTGTTATTTTATACTGATCAATGACAAAGCAGTTATGTGGACTTTTTTCAAGTGGATCTCGTTGACACTCAGTATAATTTTTGGCAGTGACAGTTTGAGTAGTTTATCGTGACAAATGGAAGTTGAATTTCAAAATGAACCTTTGACCATGTAACTGAGGTATTGGAGAGGCCCCAAGAACAGTGTGTGGGAATTAGAACTAGGATTGTAGCAACTGAGGCAGAAGGAGGGGAGGCCTGTTTTGTGTCTTTGAAAGAAAAGCTGGATAGATATTTGGTTTTGAAATGGATTTGGGGGATGTTAGATGAATTTTTGGTACTAATGATCAAATCCCCTGTGATGGCTTCAGTTCTCTTGGCACAAATATCCTCCAAGGGGATGAATGGTCTGGAGGAGAGACACCTGGTGAAACAATCTAGTTCTGCTCAAATCTAAGACACTGTTGGTACATCTGTCTACTACGGCTCATCAGTAAGAGTGAGAGGCGCTGGTGTAGATTTGATTGGCAAGTATATATGAATCAGAGGGTGTGTGGATTTCACAGACATTTCACATCTCGTTCTTGCTCATGCTATGGTTGATGTTTTTTTTAATCCAATGTGAGTTCAGCATTTGGCCTGATCTGTGCAATACCCAACCCCTAAAGTGCTTCATATGAGAATTGGGTACAAAACATTCCATCGTCCCTCACATTGCACATATGTACATGCACAAGAAATCATGGTAACTCTTCTACATTGGCGTGGCTTTGTTGACACGATTGCGCTGTATAATTCTGAATGATACAGTTTAGAATAGCCGTCTCCAGAGGGTTAACGAAAAAGCTTCCCACCGTCATTAAAAGAGTGTTCTTTTTTAGTTCTTAATCTGAGCTCTGCTGTGAGCCTTGTACACATCAGAAAGAAGCTCTCTGGGCTGCAGATTGCTTCTCTCAGTTTAATGATTTACAGGAAGCAGTGAGGCAGATTGGCCTTTATTTCACAGATGTCCACACTTGGCTGCTGAACAAAGCACCTTCCACATTCACTTCCAAGCTGCCTGCTAGAGATGAATTGGTCCCCTGTCCTTGCCCTTAGTAGGGGAAGGATTTTTTTTAAAAAAAAGACATCAATTTCTCCAGGCTATGGTGTTTCTTATGGGCTGATCACATCACTGGCTTAGATTTTTAAAAAATCAGGAAACCAGTTTCCTGCTGAGTTTGCTAATGTTAAACATTATTGCAAGAGCATGCCACTGGCATCAAATGTAGGGCA